TACAAACCTAATCTAAGTACATACTCTCAGAAAATGGTAATCCATACATTTCAAATTTTACAAAGAAGAAGAAGAGGAAAAAGCAAAGCGAGAAGCAAGCAAAACAAGAAAATATTTGTGTACTTACTTTTTCTTAGTTTTTGTTTGAAAATCCTTGTTTTTTCCAAGTTTATCCACACACACACACACACACACACACACACACCCTAACACATAAGAAAGAGAGATGCACAGATTAGCACTCTATAATTACGTAAACTGCAGTAGATTATGCGAGGCTAATAAAACTTGTAACAATACGTTAGGTGATGTTAACGAGTCGGTAGTCAAATACTAACTGAAATTAGAGCGTACATTTCTTATTTGGGCATTTCCCGAGGCCATTGCAATGGGTTTCCTCAAGTCATGGCCTTGGACTATGAACTTGTCGTAGCATTGGGTTTTTCCCAAGGTCATGGTCTTGGACTTTGACCTCGCCCAAGGTCATGGTCTTGGACTTTGACCTCGAGTTTTTCCAAGGTCGTGGTCTTGGACTTTGACCTCGAGTTTTTCCAGGGTCGTGGTCACGTAGTCGACCGCTATGCTTTAAACCATATTTATGAACCTCACTCAAAAGGGATGCTTTTTTATAAAAAATCAACCGATCTTTAAACGATTTTAACTTGTCTTTATTAGTATCAACCCTTAAATTTAAACAAATTTATATTACAAAACGTAGCAGTATACAATAAACGGATGATGTCGTCGTTAGACTTTAAGTTATCATTAAACATGTTTACAAAATCGCTAGTGGCAACATTATTCATTTTAAAAACTAAGTACATCAAGCAATATTGGCCACAAAAAGTCGAAAGGGGATGTTGTAACATTTTATAGTTACATGTAAAACGTCTAGAGTTGGCTTTCAAAAATTTTAAATGAAGGCCACATGGAGACCTTCCGAAGGAATCAAAGAATTCGCCAATTCCATCTTTATCGATGTAGATAGCGTTCCAATGTTGACCAGGTCTGGTGGAAACATCTGTATTGACTATAAGTCCATATGGACGACGAATAAATTTTGGTAATTTATCAGCTGCAAAAACACCAGGCCTTACAGAATCCTGTATGTGATTCAGGGCTCGTTGAAGTTCTAGGGAATTCATCGGTGGAGCTAATTTGGGTCCATTCGTATAGCATTAAAGCGTTTTCTTGCGAGCACATTAAAGTTTCACTGTTATGATTCAAGCACCTAATGCCTCCAAATTCTTTCTTCAGCTTCTTTAAAGAAGGGCATCCGCAATCCTCTGCACTTATTATAGGTTTGTTTAGGAAATTTAGAATGTACTGCTTCTCTAGTCCTTTAACATAGATCTTGCTAAATGGCTGTAGCAGGGTACGTAGTTCCTCTTCAAAATTTTCATATCGAATGTGACCGGAGGTCCACTTTAAGCCATGATAATAATCCTCTAAATATCGAATCTCTTTTTTTCATAGTTGCAGTAATACTATAATTTTGAGGGGGTTTTATTAACAGAGTTGTGCATTTCGGACCCTCCGAGGAAACAATCGAAATTTCTTTGGGTATAAACTCATTAAGAGCACCTCGGAAACCTTGCATATCGACGTATGCATCCATTGCAGAAAACATTTAAACTGGCTAAGGACTCGTATAAACTGATCTTTTATTTATTATTATTAGTGAAATCA